GCTTACGGTATTCCGCGAAACTAAACGAAACATTAATCTATAAGGAAATTACCGTTCACTGAGTTAACGATACCACTAAGATTTATTTCTACCCTTCCAAACCTGTCCTCACTAGATGCCGTGTTTCGCAAAATACCAATAACGGCCGATTGGTAATCGACGAAACGAGGTTGGCAGACAATTTCTTTAGGCGCTCTGCTCCCGAAAATTATCTTGCTAGATAAAGCAAAGACAGGCTTACAGACGCGACAAGAAATTATTCTCTCTCGTCGAAAACTGTTCTCGCTAGATGCTGTTTCGCAAAATACCGATAACGGCCGATTGGTAATCGACGAGACAAGGTTCGCAGACAATTTCTTTAGGCGCTCTGCTCCCGAAAATTGTCTTGCTAGATAAAGCAAAGACAGGCTTAAAGACTTGACAATAAACTGTTCTAGCTAGATGCCTTGCTACGCAAAATACCAATAACCGCCAATTGGTAATCGACGAAACAAGGTTCGCAGACAATTTCTTTAGGCGCTCTGCTCCCGAAAATTATCTTGCTAGACATAGCAAAGACAGGCTTACAGACGCGACAAGAAATTATTCTCTCTCTTCGAAAACTGTTCTCGCTAGATGCTTTGTTTCGCAAAATACCGATAACGGCCGATTGGTAAGCGACGAAGCAAGGTTCGCTGACCATTTTTTTAGGCACTCTGCATCTGAAGATTATCTTGCGACAGGAAGCAAATACAACCTTAGAAATAACATGAAAAATTTGCCCTCTCTTCGAAATATATTGTTACGCAGCCATTTGCATTGCATACTATTTCCCGCCATTTCGCAGTATTACGAACACCACGAAGAACAAAACAGTATCCCTTAATTGCATCATGTTGGTTGATCGTGTTATTATGTCGCGACACTTAAGGCACTACATTGGTTAACATATTCAAGCGCCAAAAAAATCCTCAACACTTACATACTGATCGCAACATAGATAGTGAACACCATAAAATTTAAACAGTTGTACTTGCTTATACCAATAACTTTTCATCATCCTCAGCCATAAAATAACTTAACGTTCGCAGCAGGTTCGCTCTTCTCTGGGAGCCTTCATACTGATTATTTTGAAAATTAGTCACTCGTGGAAATCAAAACTTTCATACGTACCGGTAGACATTCTACAGCAATGTCAACAGGCAGATCCTCTTTGATGCGAATTAGCCACCTAACAAGATCTGTATCAAGATAATTTTCAGAAGCAGAGCTCCTGTAAATATAGTCTATTAGTCAGCGAATCTTGCTTCGTCGATTACCAATCGACTGTTATTGGTATTTTGCGAAACAAAGCATCTAGTTAGAATATCTTTCGAAGAGAAGGAATAATTTCTTGACGCGTTTGTGGACAAAACTGTTGAGACATTTCAATGCAATTTTTAATTTCCCGCCATGCAACAATCGTTTCCAAAAGGAACAAACTTGCCCCCCTCCCCACCCCTGGTACAAAGTTGTTGGGGCTTAACAGCTCAAGCATGCATTTCTTGTGTTACCGCAAACAACATTGCAATAGGGGAGGGGGGAAAAAATCTTTGAATTTGC